CCAAAAAAAAAAAAAAAAAAAAAAAAAGAGGATATTTCCTACCAAGAAGAACCAAAGCATGTGAGGGGTGAGTTGGAAAAAGACCTCTCATTCTAAGGACAAAAGAAGATGGGTTCTCCAAATCATCAAACGCCTGACATCAACTAATGGCTTCTTTCATTCAAGTTTTTTAAGAGTCATCGTCGTCCAATTCAATCTCGTAAATCTTTTACTTTTTTTTGTCAACTGTATTTGGCTTAATAGTTAAGATATCTTTACTTTTTTCATGTTTGAATCGTTATTCTCTTAGTTATAATATGACACCTGAATAAAAAAAAAGTACTTGAATGAATTGATACCACGAGTGCCAAGAAGGATGTTGGGCCTCAAAAGTGGTGGATTGTGAAATCCCACCTCGATTAGAAAGAGGAACGAGTGTTAGCAATAATGTCTCAAATCAGTTGAAAAATGAGAACAAAACATTGTTTATAAAGGTGGATCATGAAATTTTACCATTAAATTTGTTTAGAAGTTATTTACTCTCTTCCGATGCTATCATTATAATTTCCACCCAATAAAGATAATAATATATTTTGGAAAAAGTTGGTATAGGTAGCTTTTACGGACCTTAATTAAATCGGACCCACATCGATTATAATTAAGAAATACAATGCATAGATCCCCACTAAGCCTTCACACACATAAAAATCCCTAAAAAAGCTAAGCATTGAAAGTGAAATATGAATTAAAAAGAAAGCAAAAAGACAACAAAATGGAATCCTTTTTTCTTTTTCTTTTTTTTTTAATTTAAAAAAAAAAATCTTACATAGACAAAATATGTTCCCAAACAAATCTATTCATTCTTGCACTTATAGGGGTTTCATCACTTTCATCAAAATCTTCAACCAAACCAATGTGTCATTCCATCACCTTTTACATCTTTTCTGGTTTAGATGTTGTTTTCGTTCCTTCTTCTATATTAATCTCTCAATTTTATTATATTTTACAATATTCAGATTTCATATCAATGGAAGAAGAGAACGAAACATTTTTTTATAAGGGTACGAAAATCTCTCCCTATTAGAGTATTTTAAAACCTTGAGGCGATGTGGGCTTAAGACATTATAAATGATATTAGAGCCAGACATCGAACGGTGTGCTAGCGAGGACGCTAGGCCTCTAAGGAGAGTGGATTATGCGATCCCATGTCGGTTGAAGAGGAAAATGAAACAAAACCTCTTCCTATTTTAAAACTGGAACGAAAAACCCAGATAGGACACTATTTACTACGGTCAGGTGTTTATAGTGACCAAAAAAATGAAATGAAATAAATTTATGAGATTTAACTCATTTTAATTAATTATTTATTTATTAAAATTGAAATTTTCTCTTTATTTGTGTCATTGGTTAGTTGAAATGTCGATTTGTAGTCTATTGGAAATTCCATATGCACAGACTTTTATTTGTCAATACCTTCCCCAACTTGCTAAATAAAAAAATTAGTTAAATTATATATATACTTTTTTCTTTAAATTTTGCGCTTCAATTATTATTTTTTATTTTTATTATTTCTTTTCAACTTCCAACTCCCTAACTATTCATTATATATATAAATATAATAAATAAATAAACGATCTTAATATATTTTAATACAAATGAGTAGAATCAGATAATTATACTTAAAACATTCAAGTGAGTCATAAAATTTATAATCTTTTTCATAATGCGGGTACCAAATATTATATTAAGGTCACGTCTTTTTCTCTTAAAAGATATTTATTAATATGTCGAAGATATTAATTAATACATCATTTTAAAAACAAATTTGAGAAAATAACGAACGGAAAGAGACCAAAACATTGGGACAAACTTTTGGAGTAGTCCCATGTGGTGTGTTACCATGCCACCGAAAGCATACAATATAATGTCAATGTGTTTTTGTTTTAAAAATTAAATATAGTGGCTAATATTAATTTAAAAATTGTACATATAATTTTCAATCATTATTCAATTGGATTCGATGTCATTCAAATGCATTTCTAATAATGCACGTCCAATAATTAACCTGCCAAGACTTTAATGCAATGCATCAATTTCATCCCTTCGTGAATTTGTGACATGTCAATTTATTTCAAATTTAATATTTTCTTCCAAAAAAAAAACAACATATAATATAATTTAATTACAAAACAATGCATACCAATATAATATATATATATATATATATATTATATTCAATAAATATTATGACTTAGATTTAGTACATTAGTTTAAAAAATTGGAATGAAATCAAATATTCTTATAAGATACGCAAAAATATTATAAAATTTATTAAGTATTATATTAAATTCTGAAAAAGAAAAAAAAAAACATGATTGAGTATTATATTAAAAAAAATTATAAAGAGTTGAGGACGGGAGGGTGAAGAAGGAGACGATAACGCAGAGCAGTTTTCTTGAGGGAAACGCAATATTCACATGCGGGTGATACCACTGTAACATCCGCATGTGACAATTTTATAATTTTATACTATTAAATAAAAAATAAAAAAATAATTCAATTATATATACATATAAACATTCATATTCATCACTAAAATCTCATAAATAATTTGATAAAAAAAATTGATTTTTTAGACTTTTTGTGAAATTTTATTAAATTATAAAAATGAAATTCGATTTTTTTTTTCATTCCTTGTTTCTCCAAAGGCTACAGAAAAACAGAGATGTTTACATATTTATATATATAAAGAGAGGAGAAACAAAAGAAGAGGAAAAGAAAGTTGCAGAATTGGGTTTAATGGTGCTGAAAATGCATATGGAAGTCAAAAGAAAGCTGAGGGAAGTGTAAGGGCTTTTGGGTTTTGCCTATTTTGGTTTTGAAATTTGGGAAGGAATTTCAACGTCCACCATTACAGGACACCCCATGCTATATATAGCTCTCTATAATACTCTTAACCTCTCAACACCCTCCCACCAACGTCGTCTCCCAGCCCACAATCCCAATATTTTTCTCTGCTTTTTCCCACCAACGCATTCCTTCCCTCTTTCTGCCAATACCCTTTTCAATAATCCCCTCCATTCTTCCCTCTTTTCTGGGATTTTCAACCCCAAATCTTGCAACTTCTACCAAGATCATCATCGAGTAGCTAATAGATGGTCGGATTTTTGTTGGGTTTGAATCGGTTTTAATCTGTGTTTGGGAAAGGAGGGGAAGGAAATTTGTGTGTGTGTGTGTGTGTGTGTGTGTTTGGTGGTGATGGAACAGAAGCACATTTTTCTGTCTGCTTTGGGCGTTGGGGTTGGAGTTGGGGTTGGCCTTGGATTGAGCTCTGGACAAGCTGTTGGCAAATGGGTTGCTGGGAATACCTCTTCTGATGAGATTACAGGGCAGAAGATTGAACAGGAGCTCATCAGGCAGCTCGTTGATGGCAGAAATAGCGATGTTACTTTTGATGAGTTTCCTTATTATCTTTGGTAATATAACGTGCTTCTTTCTCCTATGATGAACTGCTCCTAACATCTTTCTTTTCTTTGGTGGCTGGAATGTTTTTCTTGCTTTTAGATTTTGGCTTAAGCTTGAATGTTTCTGTAGGTAATTCTAGAGATATTTGTTGTTCTGCCCCCTTCCAGATATCACCATGTTTGTATTAATCTATGAGAAATTAGAGGTTATGGTAAAACTTCGTTTTAAAACGTTCGATTCGACGGTATCTACTGAGGATTGGATTCTTATACTCTTGATGAATGGAAGAGGTGACGATGAGCTTAGAGATGGCCTTGTCTTGTACCATTTTTTCAGTCACTATTGTTTTTATGTTTGCTGCATTTATAGTGATCAATACTCAAAATTATAAGAGTATATCAATACAATGGAGTAGTTCATTAGAAGTTCAATGTTAAATCTACTTTGATGTCAGTTTGTTTATATCTTTCAGTTAATGTTCTTGGAGATTGTTGAGCTTTCTTGTTCTTTACTTCCTTTTAATCCTTTTAACTATGTTTTTGTACCATATATGAAGAGAATCTTTGTAGCTTAAGTGTTTTCATTCCCATGGATTAGAAAATCATTGTTTTCGAGTTTGATTTTGGGAATTTTCTATGATTCCTCCATGACACTTCGACATTACGTACCACAGTCTCGTTTCTTGAATTCGTATTTTCATGTTCTAGTCGCTGATCTTTCTGGTCTGATGGTAATCACAGCGAGAGGACGAGGATGCTCTTGATGAGTGCTGCATATGTTCGTTTGAAGCATTGTGACATCTCCAAACACACCAGAAATCTTTCACCAGCGAGTCGGGCTATTTTGCTTTCAGGACCGACAGGTATGGACTATGACGCTTCCGCCTCAAGTACCTTGTAGTAGCAAAACAATACTTTTCAGGGCACAGAATATGATGCAATCTGGTTGTATTTTCTGTTTCTTTTCCATAAAGAACTGTACCACCAAATGCTTGCCAAGGCTCTGGCGCAACACTTCGAGTCGAAGTTGCTGTTGTTAGACGTTTCTGACTTTTCTCTAAAGGTATCTTATCTACACTAGCTTGTCTTTTCAGTTTTGGTTTGTGGCATATTGAGACTAATACCACCAATGTCTAACTTGGCTACAGATGCAGAGCAAATATGGCTGTGCCAAGAAAGAACCGGTAAGTTCGAACTGCCGACGAACTTGAACTCGGCAATAGTTATCTAGCTGAACTATATGATGCATGAGTACCTTAACTTCAAACCTATAGCTTGAGGAGGACAAAGAAAGGAGTTATTCCTGATTGATGGTTTACTTTTGCAGTCATTTAAGAGGTCCATCTCTGAGGCGGCGTTGGAGCGTGTGTCTAGCGTTTGGGGTTCCTTCTCGATTCTTCCTACGAGTGGAAATACTAGAGGTATGAAAAACATATGTTTTCCATTTCCAAGACAAATGTTCCTCATGTAGGTGACAAGTTACTTCGTCTTATCAAGAAAGAAGGTCCTCTTTTCCGCACACTTAAGATCTCATATCTTTTTCCTTGGCACCTGATACATATTCTCATCGATCTGAATTCTTTTCGTTAATTTTTTATCATTTAATAAACTCCCGAGTTTTGTGTTCTCCATATTCAAATATACATAAAGTACTTATGTGAGATCTCACATTTGTTGGGGAGGAGAATGAAACATTCTTTATAAGGGTGTGGAAATCTCTCCCTAGCAAACGCGTTTTAAAAACTTTGAGGAAAAACCTGAAAGGGAAAGCTCAAAGAGGACAATATCTACTAGGAGTGGGCTTGGGTCGTTACAAATGGTATCAGAGCCAGACACCGGCGATGTGTCAGCAAGGAGCTGAGCCCCGAAGGGGGGTGGACACAAGGCGGTGTGCTAACAAGGACGCTGGCCCCGAAGGGGGGTGGATTGAAGGGTCCCACGTTGATTGGAGAAGGGAACGAGTGTCAGTGAGGACGCCGAACCCTGAAGGGGGGTAGATTGAGGGGTCCCACATTGATTGGAGAAGGGAACGAGTGTCAGCGAGGACGCTGGCCCCGAAGGGGGGTTGAGTTGTGAGATCTCACATGGGTTGGTGAGGAGAACGAAACATTCTTTATAAGAGTGTGGAAACCTCTCCCTAGTAGACGTCTTTTAAAAATCTTGAGGGGAAGCCTGAAAGGGAAAGCCCAAAGAGGACAATATCTACAAGCGGTGGGCTTGGGCCGTTACAACTTATCTCTAAGGGCTGTTTTTAAGGTTATTCTGATGGATTATAATGTCAATAAAGCTGGACAAACAGAGTATCTCTTTAGTTCCTTTGAAGTTCAATAGAAAAATTTGTAGTTATTGATAATCTCATCCCCATTTTCTCTTATAGGCAATTTAAGAAGGCAAAGCAGTACTACAGACATTCAATCAAGGTAGAGTATTCCATGTCTTATCATAACATGACCAGTTTCTCTACTTGCAATATGATCGACATCGTATGATGGCAGTCGGGCACGTATACCCCCATGAAACTTTAATTTTGTTGGTGGCTGCTCATAACCATAACATCGGACGATGCATCACAGAGTTGCACGCTATGTTCTAATTCGTAACTAGTGTCTATATTCTTTTTAATCTGCAGAAGTACCGATGGCCCGTCCAATCCTCCAAAACTTCGGAGAAATGCTTCTACTGCGTCTGATATTAGTAGCATCTCATCGAATTGTGCTTCAACAAATTCAGGTTAAATCCAAAATCCTAATGAATTTGAAATCGAACTTTTTAACGACAATTGTGCTGAAGTCGATGATCGAGAGACGTGTATCGATATTCTCGATTTCTAATATGGTTCTCATCTCTTTCAGCTTCTGTCAAGCGCACAAATAGTTGGTGTTTTGATGAGAAACTTTTTCTTCAGTCGCTTTATAAGGTAATCCACTTACGAGTTGTTTGATCGTCGGTATACTCCTCATCTTCGACGTATGGATGGCTGATGGAGATGTTATTTGTTTGAGTAGACCTTGTTACAATGGACTGAAAATTTGTCTAATCGTTTGAATTGTACAGGTCTTGGTGTCGGTATCCGAAACCAATTCCGTAATTTTGTATCTACGAGATGTCGAGAGACTTCTTCTTCAGTCACAGAGGCTGTACAATCTGTTCCATAGATTTCTGAACAAGCTCTCTGGATCAGTTCTAGTACTCGGTTCGAGAATGGTAGACTTGGAAAATGATTGCGGAGATGTTGACGACAGACTGACCTGTTTATTTCGGTATAGTGTCGAAATTCGACCCCCTGAAGACGAGAATCATCTTGTCAGCTGGAAAGCTCAATTGGAAGAGGACATGAAGATGATTCAATTCCAAGATAACAAAAACCACATTGCTGAAGTTCTTGCTGCAAATGATCTTGAATGTGATGATCTTGGATCAATCTGCCATGCAGACACTATGGTTCTTAGTAATTATATCGAAGAAATCGTCGTATCGGCGATATCCTATCATTTAATGAACAACAGGGATCCCGAATACCGAAACGGAAAACTTCTGATATCTTCCAAGAGGTACTCACCATATTCCTTGCTAAGATTAACATTCCCCCAAAATAAGAAGAGAGATGAAAAGATAAAGCATCCATGAATGATGCATATATTAATAAAAATCTGGTTCTGGAGCAGTTTATCCCATGGATTGAGTATATTCCAGGAAGGAAATAATGAAGGGAAAGACACTCTAAAGCTAGAGACGAATGCAGAATCATCGAAGGTTCGGTTTATGTTTCGATAATTTACTTTGGAAAACGTGCATCTTTCTACTTCATTTTGCTTAATAATATGTTTTTCTTTCTTATTTTGCAGGAAGCCCCGGGGGACGATGCTGTCGGGGCGAAGAACGAATCAAAATCTGAAAATTCAGCTGCAGAAAACAGAGGAGAGGCAGATAAATCTGTACCTATAGTGAAGAAAGATGTTGAGAATGTACCTCCACAAAAAGCTCCTGTAAGTTAATTCTATACCTCATGGGTTGCATTTATTTTCACCAACCGTGAGATCCCACATTGGTTAGAGAGGGAACGAAACATTCCTTATAAGGGTGTGGAAACTTCTCTCTAGTAGACGCGTTTTAAAATCGTGAGGCTGATGACGATATGTAACGGGTCAGAATGAACAATATTTGCTAGTAGTGGGTTTTGGTTGTTACAAATGTTATTAGAGCCAGACACCGGGCGGTGTGTCAACGAGGACATTGGGAGCTAAGGGGAATGAATTGTGAGATCCCACATCAGTTGGAGAGGAGAACGAAACATTCCTTATAAGGGTGTGGAAACCTCTCCCTAGTAGACGCGTTTTAAAACTGCGAGGCTGACGGCGATACGTAACAAGCCAAAGCGAACAATATTTACTAACGGTGGGTTTGGGCGGTTATACTAACAACTAAACATGTTTGTTAATCATAGGCCACTGCATTGTCTTAAAACATTTGATTACCAATTTTATGAGTGACTGTTGGTAACTACCTTGATGCCTGAAACACGATCGTCATGTCTTTATTGTCGATTATAGCGTTTGGAATTGAGGTTTCGGCTTTGCTACCTATCAGTATCGTTTAACCAAAATTTCAGTTTTTATGATCAATGTTGGCATTTCTTCCACCCCATTGCTTCCTTCTTTTAATATTTCATTTACGCACGACAGGAAGTCCTTCCCGACAACGAATTTGAGAAGCGTATAAGACCAGAAGTTATCCCTGCAAACGAAATCGGGGTGACATTTGCAGACATAGGTTCCTTGGATGAGATCAAAGAGTCCTTACAGGAATTAGTCATGCTTCCTCTTCGACGACCAGACCTCTTTAAAGGCGGGCTTCTCAAACCTTGTAGGGGTATTTTGCTTTTCGGCCCTCCTGGTACGGGTAAAACGATGCTGGCGAAGGCCATTGCTAATGAAGCTGGAGCAAGTTTCATTAATGTTTCAATGTCCACAATCACTTCTAAATGGTTTGGGGAAGACGAAAAGAACGTTCGGGCACTGTTTACGCTTGCAGCAAAGGTTTCCCCTACAATTATTTTTGTCGATGAAGTCGATAGCATGCTTGGCCAGCGGACTAGAGTGGGAGAGCATGAGGCCATGCGGAAGATTAAAAATGAGTTCATGTCACACTGGGATGGATTGCTGACTAGAAATGATGAGAGAATACTAGTTCTTGCTGCAACCAACAGGCCATTTGACCTCGATGAAGCCATCATTCGTCGGTTCGAGCGTAGGTAGGAATACTTTTGTTTCCCGTGATCCCTTGACGAGTCATGTAATTGGTGAGGACATGGGCTAATGTAGTGCCATTATCTTCGCCGAAACTCACCAAGCTCGTTGCTAAAATGAAAATTATAGTGAAGTATTAATTATCGACATATCGTTCTTAAGAGACTCGCTGTCTAATCCTTCAATCTATTCCATTGAGCAGAATTATGGTTGGTCTTCCATCAGTGGAAAGCAGGGAAATGATCTTGAGAACTCTTCTTTCAAAGGAGAAGGCTGAAGATCTTGATTTCAAGGAGCTTGCAACTATGACAGAAGGGTACAGTGGAAGTGATCTCAAGGTGTGTACTCTTATTACTTGAATTAATCGCTTAGTTCCATCGATCAGCTCACGACCTTTACTTCCGGCAACAGAATTTGTGCGTGACTGCAGCTTATCGGCCCGTTCGGGAGCTCCTGCAACAAGAGAGATTGAAGGATTTGGTAACTTCCATTAAGCTATTCCCACATGAAATGTTTTATCATCTGAAGTTCTGAAATAAAGGAATGAATCTTTAACCTCCATCTTTTATAGGAAAAGAAGCAAAGAGAGCTGAAGGAGAAGGAGCAGGAGGAGGAGGAGAAAACGGAGACAGAGATGGAGACCGAGACCAAGAACGAGAACGAGAACGAGAACGACAAGAAGAAGGAAAATAACTCGGAAGATATGACCGTTACGAAAGAGGAAGAAAAAGAGGAACAAGTGATCATTCTGAGGCCTTTAAATATGGATGATATGAGACAGGCAAAAAATCAGGTGAATATCTTTGTTACCCTTAATTTTGAGATGTGGGTCATCTTTATTTACAAATTCGTGGCTCGTGTAACTTGTTTCGTTTCGATAGATATATAGTTTGTAAGGATTAACCTAGATCTCATGGACCTAGTTTACTAGATATCGATTTCGAAATAATATTGGACTTCATGTGTGTCATGTGTTGCAGGTTGCTGCAAGTTTTGCTTCTGAAGGATCAGTGATGAATGAGTTGAAGCAATGGAATGAGTTGTATGGAGAGGGAGGTTCAAGAAAAAAGCAACAGCTTACGTACTTCCTATAGAATGTAGATGCAAGCTTCGTATCCTAAACACGTAAGGTCGAGCGGGCATGAACAACATTCAAGGTAAAACAAGATGCTTTCTGGATGCAAAGTCCGTGACATCCGGGGATCTCAGGCAAGTTCAATCAACAACAGTATCGTTCTAATGGTATCTGTCATTTGTTTTGAGTCATATGGTTAAGAAATGGGTTATTGGTTATGGGTTATGAATGAATTCTTAGGCCAATGTTCAAACCGTTTACCTCGTATCGTTTAAAGATTTTGATTATAATGTTTTCGAGTGCACGGTGTTGGGAATGATATGTTTTGGACCATGAGGAACATACCATAGGATTTGTACATCATTGATGTGTAATTTTTATGTATTTAAACTATAAAGGTTATAGAGTTTGTATCATAAGTGGAAATTCAAGTTCTTCCAAGCAGATATCCAAGTTTACTTGAACCAATATATTGAATAATAGAAGGAATCAAGGAAAAAACTTTGATGGACAAGAATTTCAATGCAGTTACACTCTCCCTCAAATAACTAGTATGAAAAAAATCATAAAAGATCAAAACCTTTCAGCCAATCTAGCAGTAACTGCTCTTAATTTCGAGTAAACTTTACCTGCAGGGGAACCTAAAATGAGGCTGCAAAGAGAATCTCTAGCAATTTTGATGTTGGCAAAGGATCCTAATATGTGAATCTTGGTGTCTGCAATGACTATCCTCGTCTTTGTAGCATTTTCAATGGCGAACTTAGTTTTTCCAGCTTTACCAGACAATCGGCCTATGGCACGGGACAAATGCTCACCTCGAAGTGTTTTAACATCTTTAATCTCGAAAGATTCTACGTAGAGTTCATCCACTCGTAAGAGTGCAATGGCGTCAATTATATCAAAACCCAGCATGAAGGCATGGACAAAATCTGCACACTTTTGCAAGTTACTGATGTCTGGTGTGTCTGCTCTGGTTTTCAGTTCGACTTTACGAGCTTTGAGGTTCATACGGATGTCGATTTTCATCTGCTCGTATATTGGGGTGTAGATCTCCATCCATGCTTTCTTGAGAGGAGAATAGCGATGTGGAGGAACAGATACCTTCCGGAACTGAACTCGGCCATCATTCATTTCATGAGGCTTTAGAGGTTCAAACAGTGGTTTTGGAGGCAAGATGCCGACTTCAGTTGTCGATTTACTTGGAACTGCTTCCACTTCCATGGAGATGGGGACTTCAGTAGACTGCATTGTGGAATTGACCTGAGTTCCGCTCTGTAAACACCCAAAGAACTGCCAATAAACAACGAAATATAGGCAATATTTGAGTGGAATACACATACATAACCACAGAGAATAGACTTTTACCCAAATTTGAGCCAAGAATAGTACTCCCAAGTGCTTAAAAAATGTTTTTAATAGCTAAGAAAGTCGAAGAGTCATTCCAAACAGACCATACTTTTGGGGAACATCAACTCGTTTACTTGATGCTAGCAAGAAGTTTGAAACTAAGCCAAACAAATAGCAAAAATTAGGACAATAGAGGTGGGGCGTGAACATGCTACCAACGTAAAGTGTCCGTTATAGTCTTAAAACAAATCAAATGCAAATGCAAATAAAATCAATAATACTCCTTAAGGAGTCATACTTGCAGAAAGCATGAGGTGAAAATCAATCCTCCCCGCTATCAATCAACAAAACATAGTCTTCACTCGTAATATAAGAAGATCAATGTTACTTAATCAACCAGAAATTCAACAAAAATTATTCAGCGCAAACAAACTATACATCGCAGAATTAACAGGAAAAAATCATCCGAAGGAAACAGAACAGGAACCAAGAGGAAGAAAAAAATGTGTATCCGCTTTCTGCTTCAACAAATAAGTCAAGAACTCAACTTCATACGAAATAAAATTCAAATGCAGATGAAATCAGCAATACCTGAGTGAACCAATCAACGATTACCAAATGAAAACAGAACGCCCCAGAAAACGATCAACGTGAGCGAAGGAGTGCGATGTGGGCAGAAGCTTGAATCGAAGAGCCGCCGCTCAGTGAGCCTGGAAAATCAAGCACCGGTGGTGGGAATGGTGGAATTATATATATCCCCGAGGGAGAAGAACAGAGAGAAGGGCGGGGGCTGAAATCAAACTCATATATTGTTAGGGCTTCCTTTATTTTGCTTTTATTTTATTTTTCTGATTAAATTACAATTTTGTCCATCCATTTTTAAATACCCTCAATTAGATTTATCAATTTATATATATATATATATAT